ATTTAAATTTAAGGTGAAAAAATTAAAAATTAAAATTTTATATAAATATAATATATAAAATTTATATATAAACAGATTCAATTAATATAAAAGCTTTTAGAATTGATCAACATCTTAATCTTAAGTCATGTAATTGGCATGTAGAGGGGTGACAATAACACCAACCACTTATTAGTTTAAGTGAAAAAAACTCGATTTTTTTAAAATAAGATTTTAAGTTTAATTTTTATAAATGAAGAAAACAGGTTTTGGAAGAGTTTTTCCCACCTTATGAGATTTGACCTGATTCAACTCTAAATTATTTAGGACATGTAGTTTCTAAATACTGAGAGTTAATACAAAAAAAAAAAAAAAAACCAAAAACAAAAAATAAAGGGGGTGACAATAGCCAGTTGGCTGAATGATCCGCCATTAAACTTCTAATGTGATCAATATAAAGCTGAATCGACGGATCTAACTAATTAACGAACTTTGCCCAAAAAAAAAAAAAGGAAAAGAAGAAGAAGTGGAAGAGGAAGAAATAATGAACTTTGGCCGAATGTTTAGGTAGAGGTCTTGAAATATTTTAAGTATCAAATTCAATTTTTTTTTTCTTATATCTGATAGTTAATTACTTAACCTAGTAAAAATTTTAACTTTTAACTTTAATTATAAATTAAAATTTTTTGATTAATAGATATTTATTCAGCTAAATTCTTCTTGGTCAACATCAAATTCAATTAGTACGGAGATCAGGCACATAATCTAGGAACCATCTGTTTTTGAACCATACCCTAATCCTCTCCGTCCACTATTCAACTGGCATGGATGCCCAAAATTTCACCCATAAGAGTATGTAGTAGGTATAAATTTACTTTTGAATAAAAAAATATGAGTAAATCTACTTATAAAGTTTTTGATTTATACTTATCATCTCAAATTTAATATGTAAGATCAAATATGTTAATAATCACTTATTGTATGGTTGGTAAGTTTATTGTTAATAGTTTGTTAACATCATCTAACACTTTACATTAAATTTAAAGATATTTGTATAAATTAAAAATTTAGTGAGTAAATTTATTTTTATTTTTTCAAGAGTAAATCCATCCCTATTACTTAATTTTAGGGTAGATTTGAGTATTCTTTAGTATTCATCCTTAAAAACATCCAAGAATTTTTTTTTTTTGGGGTACATAAACATCCAACAATTTGTTCACTACACCTAAACCATTTATGACCAGCCCTTTTGGTTGTGGATTTTGGCCCACAGAGGCTGAAAGGACAGAAACCCATACTATGGGAGTGATTGGGAGAGCTTTAAAAATAAGTTTATTTTAAGCAAAAATTTTTTTTATAAATTTATAAATTTATTATAAGAAAATTTAAAAGTCATTTTAAAGTGATTTTTAGCAAATTTAGATATGTTACTCTTTTAAAACATGCTAAAAAATTACTTTAAAAGTTAATTTTTAAATTTTCCTACAACAATTGATTACTTATAGAAACTTGCATTTTAAGCCCTCCCAAACACCCTGCATGTATCCTCAAGTGAAATCAATTCAAACTGAGCATGTTCTTGAACTGTGTCATTTTCGGGAAGATTTTTTTTATTTTTTTTGGTAATTATGGTTAAGATGTTTTTTACATTAATTTTTACACACCTCGAAACTAATCTTTTCTTAAATAATTTCAAAATCACATTTTTATATTAGATTGGTGTATTTTAAGAAAATTAAAATTTTTAAGTATTAACTCTAAAACTTAAATTTTAAATCTAACATATAATTAAACAATACTTACTTATCAATGCATCAACTTTAAGATTATTTTGAGATTATTTTCAATAAGATGTTAAACAATCCTTGATAAAACATTACAAATGCTATACTTAAAATGAATCGAACCTGTTATTGTTTTCTTTGTTATTTTTTATTTTTTTCATCACCACTTTCTTTTTGTTAATAATAATAATAATAATAATAATAATAATAATAATAATAAAACGAAATCAAATTCAGGGATCAATGTCATCTTCTTCATGGTCCATCAGCTGCCAGGAGCCATTTGCCTGTTGAACCATGCCTGTGTTCTTCAGAACCCTCCAAGACACTGGCACAAGATATTCATCCTTTAAACCGTCATTTGCTTTATTTACAAGTGCAATGTCTCGATTGACCTCCAACGAAAATCCCCCTTGATTCCCATGACTTCCTGCTACTCCATGCAAATAAATTTCCAAAGCATGCCAAGTTGCCAAGTTTCCAGGACTCTTCAGGTACGGGGACTTTTGGGTGTCAATCTGTAGCACTTCTCCCACATCCGAGTAACCAATCAAGGGATAGGTGGGGACAACATCTAAGGCGTTACGGATGCGTAAGGCTCGAAGATCCTGGAGACTAGAAAATGTTTTGCTGAAGTTGGAGTCTCCCACTCGGGGACTAGCAAATACGAAGGCTGTAACAGGACAGGACCTGTTCAAGATTCTGTTGTAGCCATTGAAAACTATGTCTACCGCATTCAATGTTGCAACTGCCGCACCCAAGCTGTGGCCCGTTACGGTTATGCTAATCTCCTCGTTCTTGTATGTTTCCACTAGTCTCTTCACCTCCTCAAGAATCTAATTAATTAAGCAGGAAAGAAAAACAAATTGACCTACTCATTAAATTAGAGTTGACATCCACTTATACATGTAAATCTTTAATAGTTGAATTTACAATCCGATATTAATATTGGTTGAGATGATCATTAAGAACTAATAAACTACCGCTCACCTAGCTAGCTAGCACTGATTTATTTTTTTATTTTTATTATTAATATTATTTTTTTATGCAAGTACTGATTTCGTTAGTTACCTGATCTCTGGCACTTCTTTTGTTGTAGGGCGAACGAGGGTCATCCGAAGTGTAAAGAGAATACCAACCTTCGTGCACCTTAACATCACTACCTTGCCCAAAAATCTTGTCAGCAGAAACCATATTAAACAGAAAATCATTAACCCACTCCAGCGACTGAACCGTCCCTCTCCATGCCACCACAATATCCCTCCGCCCCAAAACCTTCTTCCCTTGGTCCGTGGCCACCGCAACGTACCCCATAAAGTTGGATTCTTTGCTCCAAGCCTCCCTCGACAATGACTTTAGAATAAACGCCTCCGGTACCTGAATCCCCGACGTTCCATAGAAAAACCTTGTAACCTCATACCTGTACTAATTTTTAATGGCAAATTAGCAGCTAGCTAGCTCATGGACATTAATAATTTAAGGTTTTGAAAATTTGTTATACCTGCATAATGGGTTGGCTTTCTTCAGATCCACCTTGGAGAAGAAATTCGTTTTAGAATAGATGCTACTTCCGGTGTATTTGGATAACTTCTGGGAATTGAAAGCGTCGTAGGTAGCTTGAGCCATTTCACCGTAGTGAATAATGTAACGCCGGAGATCGTGATCCAGAGGGTCTAGTAGATTTGTCCAATTGCTCTCTCCATTAAGACTTCTCCATTTCTTCGCTATGCCATCTGCTTCCACCACTCTCTTCGACAATATTCCAACAAATTGAAATAAAACAAAATAAAATAAAAACAATCGCACTTGAACACAAAATATTTCCATTAAAATTTCTATGCTTTATGGGGCTATGTATATGGCTTGATATCTCCACTCTTTTGATGTGAAGGTTGATTGCATGGCCTCAATCAACCCTGTGAATGTGTTTAAAATATTGAATCGTATTCAACTTGAATTATACCGTACCTTATCAAGAATATATATACAGAGATACAAATGCAAATTCAGATCCTAAAATTGTGTCAAGAATCATAATCTGCTCGATCCTTCTATCCTGTACTTTATTGCCTAAGATATTTTCCTTTCTCTTCTGATATTTGTTTCCTTACCCAGCTGATAATTGTTTCCTTACCCAGTTCGTGCTGCAATATATTGCCTTGATTTCTTTCTCGGGCAAAACCTTTCTTAAGCCCCTCAACTTTTTCGACAACGAGTGACAAGCCCCTAAACTAAAAGGTGGCAAACAAGCCCTTCAACCTCATGTTTGGCGTGAATCAGCTCCTCCGCTAACTAATTTCGTGACGCCGTTGGTTATTGGCTACGTGGCATTGCACTTGCATGCCCTTGCATGTTTTTTTTTTTTTTTTT